ATGAATGAATGAATGAATGAATGAATGAATGAATGAATGAATGAATGAATGAATGAAGAATTGGAATATCCAGTTTTGGAGAGTCACTGGGTCCAAGTGTTAAGAAATGTCAAATATCTTTATGACCTAAAAATGAAATTAACTCCTCAGAAAGCATTGGACCCCTCAAAGAAGGTTTAAAAGAGATAGACAATCAATTTTTTATGGTGGTGTTATAAGAAATTTCAGGGATCTTGAACTCATAGGATTTGGTCCTGCCCAGCTATAGCCTTGTTCTGGTTTCAAATTGTTACATGTGCCAGGACAATTTTGGGAAGAATGTGTTCTTTAACTATATTCCTAAAATGTGGAAGATTGAATTAAACTTATATTGCTATCTATAGTTATTATATGGATCTTTTTTCTCCCTTTCTCTGTTCATGTTCTTTTTTGTCAGATTTAATTTTTTTCATCACTGTCATATACATATATATATTTTTCTTCACTGTAATCAGTATCTTTTTTCTTTTGCTGTTGGCATTGTACTTTTTAGTATTTCACTATTAAATAAAGTTAGTGTAGCTTAAGCTGATTTTCTTCCTTTTTATTTCCTTTTAATGCTGCTAGATCCCCCAGGGCTGAGGAAAACCGTTCACCCCCACATTGTTCAGCTCTGTTTCTGTTTCCTTTTCTCTCACTACCACAGCAGCTCTTAAACTGATTTTGGAGTGTGTCTGAGCTGATATTATTTAGGAGTGTCTGGTATGGGAAGTGTCACCCTAGAGCATGAGATATTTTGCTTTCACAGGGTAACACTGTGATTGTCGCATTCACTAAATGTATTATTTCATGTAGGTGCATGTACATGAAAAACCTTGGTGTTTGGAATAGGGTGAAAAAGCCAGAAACGTTAATTAATGGGTTGATACCAAAGCCTAGAGATTCTGGTAGTATCCAGCAGCATCTCCCTTTCAAGTTAATACAATTTTTTTTTTAGATATTTTATTCTGCCTTTATTATTTTTATAAATAACTTAAGGCGGAGAACAGACCTAATACTCCTTCCTCCTCCTATTTTCCCCACAACAACAACCCTGTCAGGTGAGTTGGGCTGAGAAAGAGAGAGACTGGCCCAAAGTCACCCAGCCGGCTTTCAGGCCTAAGGCGGGAGTAGAACTCACAGTCTCCTGCTTTCTAGCTTGGTGCCTTAACCAAAGGACTAAACTCTCCGGAAGCCACCAAAATGAAGGACTGGTTAGCAAGACTTCTCTCCTGATGCAGTCTTAGATCTGTAATTTGATAGGAATGGAGGAACACATGGATGAAGTCCCTAAACCAGGCAGGGCTTTATGATATCATTGCCTGATAATTCTCCACTTTGCTTCTTAAAACAAGGAATGTCTGCGAAACCCACATTGTAGTTACTCTTGTTGTTATTGCTTTTTTTTTTTTAATTATCATGATCATCATGTTTCTTTTTTACATCTTCCTTCTAACTTTCAAAACAAATGAAGAACAATTCCTGAAACAGGTTGAGCCCCTTAAAAAATGCTCCTGGAGAAGATGGAGCCCAAATCACCTTACAGTGGGCACGTTACAACAATGCGGTTGCTGTTGGAGAATTCCTTGGAGCCACAGGACTAAGGATAGAAATCAGTCCACACAAAACTCTTCAGTCCAGGACTCCCTCTGTCCATTGGTGTGGGGAAGACAATGCAATGCCAGGTGCCCTGACTGCACCAGATTCCTGTCTTTGCAGGATGGGCTAAGCACAGCAGCTACTGGCCTCGAAGAGCATGTGGCCTTCAGCAGCCTTGCTCTCTGCATTCACATCAGTTGCAGAGCCACAGAGCGAAAGCTGTCAGTTGTGGGCCACACGATGGAGTGCAGGTTCAGAAGCACTGCGCTCTATCTTGGGCAAAGAGTGCTGAAGCGACTCAATGGAGGCCAGGATCTGAAAGAGAAGACAAGGAGTTTTCATTTGGAACCAGCATCCCACAGAATGCTAGCTGAGCAGAGCTGAGTTCCGGAGCCCTAGCCAGAAAAGGGACTCAGTAAAAATAGCACGAAAACTCTTAGAGCATGTACAGAATCTCAGCTTCCCTTTGCCTGTTTTAGAAAAGCAAAATTCCACCCTTTTGGCTTGCTATTTGGTAGGCGCAAAAAAAAAGAACTTGAAGGTTATGAAAACTCAGCAGAATTTTGTCTCTCTGTGTAGGACACAGACAAAGAGAGAAAATGTGTAAATACACACATTATTGTTCCTATTTCTTTTTTTTTTATTTA